TTTTTTTTCTTTTTTTTGAGAGAGTCTTGCTCTGTTGCCAGGCTGGAGTGCAGTGGCACGATCTCGGCTCACTGCAACTTTCACCTCCTGGGTTCAAGCGATTCTCCTGCCTCAGCCTCCCAAATACCTGGGACTACAGGAGCCCACCACCACGCCCAGCTATTTATGTATTTTTAGTAGAGACAGGGTTTCACTATGTTGGCCAGGATGGTCTTGATCTCTTGACCTCGTGATCCACCTGCCTCGGCCTCCCAAAGTGCTGGGATTACAGGCCTGAGCCACCATGCCTGACCTTTTTTTTTTTTTTCTTTTTTTGAGATAGGGTCTCGCTTTGTCACCCATGCTGGAGTGCAGTGGCAAAATTACGGCTCGCTGCAGCCTTGACCTCCTTGGCTCAAGCGGTCCTACCACCTCAGCACCATTACGCTCCAGTAGCTGGGACTACAGGCATGTGCCACAATGTATGGCTAATTTTTAAATTTTTTTTGCAGAGATCAGGTCTTGCTGTGTTGCCTAGGCTAGTTTTGAACTCCAGGGCTCAAGCCTTCTGCTTCAGCCTCCCAAAGTGTTGGGATTACAGGCGTAAGACATTGTGCCCAACTGGATTTTGGAGCATTCTGGATTAGGGATGATTAATTTGTATTGTAAATTAAGTCTATTTTCTCATTACCTTACATGATTATTTCAGAGATAGTTTATCTTAATTTGATCGATCTTCAATTGCCAAAGGTTCCTAACACTTAGGTTTTCCCTCTCGTACAGCATGCCAAGTAGTTACTAATCTACAAAGGAATACTTAAATGCATTGTTGAGGACTGCTAGTCAAAGGAGCCTCTAAGGAAGCTTTTGCAATATGAAAGAATCACCCTGTCTTACTCTTTAAAGACTTTCCTGCAAGAGAGGCATACCAGACTCAAAATTTCATGTACTGTGCAAAAACATGCCCAGACCTTTGGAGAACTGGTCTTTTAAACAAGAATTGAGACCAGGTGCAATGGCTCATGCCTGAACTCTCAGCACTTCAGGAGACCAAGATGGGAGGATCGCTTGAGGTCAAGAGTTCAAAACCAGCCTGGGCAACATAGCAAGACCCTGTCTCTACAAAAAATTAACAAAACAAAACAAAACAAAACAAAACCCAGATGGGTGTGGTGACACATGCCCATAGTCTCAGCTACTTGGGAGGCTGAGGCAAGACGATTGCTTATGCCCAGGAGTTCAAGGCTGCATTGATCCATGATCCATGAGCCATGACTGCACTCCAGCTTGGGTGACAAAGTGAGACCCTATATTTACTGTCTCTAAAAATAAAAATACCAACCTGGCCAACATGGTGAGACCGCGTTCCTACTAAAAATACAAAAGAATACCTGGGCATATTGGCAGACGCCTGTAATCCCAGCTACTCTGGTGGCTGAGGCACAAGAATTGGTTGAACCCAGGAGGCAGGGGTTGCAGTGAGCCAAGATTGTACCACTGCACTCCAGCCTGGGCATCAGAGCGACACTCTGCCTCAAAAATAAATAAATAGATAAAATAAACAAGAATGAAAAAGCTCAGCAAGAATTACAGTATTTTAACTGTAAGGTGAATTATTATGTAAAACCACCAAATCATGTTCATCACACCTTAGATAGTGTATTTTCAGCCTTCCAGAGATGAAAGTAGCCATCCAGAGACACTGCTCCCAATTCCTACAAGAGCAATGAAAACCAGGTTATATTATCATCCATAGCAACTAATCCACGATAATAAGCAGGAGAGGTATCTAAGGTCAGGGTCCTTTACTCCTATCTTGGGATGATTCCAGCAGAGGTGCCAGTAATTATTAGACCATTACTTCACCCTACAGAACACAGCTGAATGGCATATTAAATCGAGGCTGCCAGTAATAACACAGGCACCCATGGTTCAAAAACTCCTCACTATGCCATCATTTCCTCAACATCCTGTTGGAGAGTTAAAGCAGGGCACACATGTGAAGGACAGTTTCATAATATAGTGTGAGAATTTCTGTAAGTGAAGAGTCTAATCTAGGAGAGATGAATCTACCCTCAGGCCATAAATATAGATGGGATAGGAGGCTAAGGGAACTACCCTTCAAACTGTGGCCTGATTCAGATTTTGGAGAACCCTTTCTCTGGCTCTGGGTACATATTCTGACACTGCTTTTTTTTTTTTTTTTCGAGACGGAGTCTTCCTCTGCGGCCCAGGCTGGAGTGTAGTGGCGCAATCTTGGCTCACTGCAACCTCTGCCTCCCAGGTTCAAGCAATTCTCCCGCCTCAGCCTCCCGAGTAGCTGGGAATACAGGCACATGCCACCATGCCCAGCTAATTTTTTTGTATTTTCAGTAAAGATGAGGTTTTACCATGTTGGCCAGGCTGGTCTCAAACTCCTGACCTTGTGATCTGCCTGCCTTGGCCTCTGAAAGTGTAGGGATTACAGATGTGAGTCACTGCGCCTGGCTAACATTCTGCTTTTATTAAAACCTCAGCATCAGATCTGACTCAGTAAGGTAAGACTTAGTGGAAATGTGAAGGGAAAGCAGGCAGTTAAGAATACTGGTTAGGTGTGATGCCTCACGCTTGTAATCCCAGCACTTTGGGAGGCCATGGAGAGTGGATCAACTGAGGTCAGGAGTTCGAGATCAGCCTGGCCAACATGGTGAAACCCCGTCTCTACTAAAAAATACAAAATTAGTCACGCAGAGTGGTGCACGTCTGTAGTCCCAGCTACTTGGGAGGCTGAGGCAGAAGAATTGCTTGAACCTGGGAGACGGAGGTTGCTGTGAGCTGAGATCGCGCCATTACACTCCTGCCTAGGTGACAAGAGCAAAACACAGTCTCAAA